TTTCTGCCATTACTGAGGCTGGATTGGACTTCCTCCAAGCACTCTCTATGCTCGTCATCCATCCAAACACTAGGCTGGGAGGAGGCACAAATGCTAGAGAAGCTGCAGACAGTTGTTGGAGTTCCATCTTGAGCCATGAGCGGCAGAAAGAACTGGAGAGGTAGGCGATCCACAGCATCCCTTATGCCCTCGGTTCAGCGCACAAGAAGGTGCAGGGCACAAACACAGCTAGTGATCACGCTTCCGGTCGTGGATGCATGGAGCGCATGTGCAACCCTATCGTGAATACCCATAGGGACCACCACTCGAAGAATATTGTTTTACTATGAAAGTGTGGCAAGGAGAGATCCCCTGACCTGACAAAAAGGAGATGAAAGCCCTCAACTGCAGAGCAGTCAAACCCTCCCCTCACCATAGGAGCACGTAAGGGGACCTGATTACAGCCAACATTCACTGTGCCTAAAGCATTCCCTAAATTCTCCATCCATTCACAGATGGAAGTTACATTTGTTCTGACAAATCCATGCTGCCTACTTTTTAATCCTCCAATTATTTTACTTATAAATCACCAGCTTTGTTCATTGACTTATTAAAACAGTTTGTTCCATTATCTGTTCTCCCTACTACCATCATCCTCCCTGAATTTCTCTGACCACTGGCTCTAGGATTGCCTTTCCCCCATCCCCGGAACTTCACCCACCCTCCACGTGTTCACAAGTCACCAGTGGAGTCAGTACTACTTGAGCCCGTCCCTGCGGCCCTCCAGGGCGACTCCATCCGGGCCTGCCGACTGGCATGCATTCATGGGGACCGGGGACAGTACCTTTGCTATGAGTGCTTAGCCAGCAGACAGCTCTCTCCAGATTCAAGGCATGTTACAAACAGGGAATCAACTTGCAACCCTCCTGTGGAATCGGGCAGTACTAAACCCTTTCAGTGAGCAGGGAAGTCAAGGCCTTGAGTTGCCTGAGGCCACAGAGGAGCAGGTGTTAAAGCCAGGCTGAGAATGCAGGCTCCTAGCACCACGCTCAGTCTACACCCCTCTCTCATATCAGCCTGCTTCTTCCTTGGTTTCTCCCCTGTCCTTCTCGCTCTCAGGGCTTGTCTACACTACCGCGCGGCGTCGATCTAAGATATGCAACTTCAGCTATGTGAATAGCGTAGCTGAAGTCCACGTACTTAGATCTACTTACCGCGGTGTCTTCACTGCGGTAAGTTGACAGCTGATGCTCTCCCGTTGACTCCGCTTGCGCTTCTCGTTCTGGTGGAGTACTGGAGTCCACGGGAGAGCACTCAGCAGTTGATTTATCGCGTCTATACTAGACACGATAAATCGAACCCCACTGGATCGATCGCTGCCCGCCAATCCAGCAGCTAGTATAGACAAGCGCTCAGTGCATTAAGCTCTAGCACAGGGGTGGGCAAACTATGGCCTGGGGGTCACATCTGGCTCTTCAGACGTTTTAATCTGGCCCTCGAGCTCCCACCAGGGAGCAGGGTCGTGGGCCAATGGGAGCTGCAGACAGGGCAGCGTGCAGAGCCACCTGGCCGTGCCTCCACATAGGAGCTGGAGGAGGGACAGGCTGCTGCTTCTGGGAGCTGTTTGAGGTAATAGCTGCCCAGATCCTGCAGCCCTGACCCCCTCCCATGCCCCAACTCCCTGCCCCAGCCCTGATCCCCCTCCTGCCCTCCAAACCCGTGGGTCCCAGCCCTGAGCACTCCACCCCAACCCTCATCCCCAGCCCCACCCCAGAGCCTGCACCCCCCCAGCCAGAGCCCTCACCCCCTCCTGCATCCCAACCCGCAGTTTCGTGAGCATTCACAGCCTGCCATACAATTTCCATACCCAGATGTGTCCCTCAGGCCAAAAAGTTTGCCCACCCCTGCTCTAGTAGCTTGTCCAGTGAAGGCTGCAGCATGTTGCTATTAGGAATTTCCTCCTTTGCCCTGTTGTCTAGGGAGTCTGTCAAACCTCTGGCACAGGCCTCACTTGTAACCATTAGTGAACCCCAACCCACTGCTCCTGGGCAGAATCACAGCCCCCTTCTCTGCCCAGCCTCCCAGTGCAGTAACGCCCCAGCTTTTTCACAACCCCCCAGGAACAGATGCATGGTCATTTACCCCTCCTCAGTGCAGTCATAGACCACTCTCTCCCCCAATGGATGCAGTATACTAACCAAGGCCATTGCACAAGGTCCATCTCCCCGAAACACCACCAGGGGTGGGGATCCACAAGGGGTTATTCCCTCATGGGCAGTGGCTGTTCTTCAGTGGAGTTGCACTGCTCTTCGGGCATAAAGGGGCCCTAGAGAAGGGAGAGCATTGAGCTGGTTCCCTCAGCTCTTCCTACTTCAGCTCTGCCTCTCGGCTAATCCCTATGGCACGTGGGTGATGCATTCACTCCAAGCCCACCCACCCACATGTATGATCACCAGGGTTTGCCATCCATGGAATTTATCACAGCTCTCCCTGCCCCATCCGGGGCAACTCCTTCATTTCCCTAGATCCAGCATCCGGCCAAGTTACCATGTGTCCCGGATTCTCCAGGACTGTTCCATGTTCAGGTTGGCCACAGGATATCCCAATCCCAAATTTCAGCCACTCTTCATGAGGGGATTGCTGGGCTGCTATTCAGGAATCTTGGGGTGTTTCTCCCTACCAGCTACCAAGGGCACTGCTGGTCCCTCCCCAACAAGTGTGGTTCCAGAAGCGTCACTTGAAGAGAAGGGTGGATATTCTACCCCTTTCCAGCAAGGAGAGAAACTTCTCACCTCAAAAATCCAGGGCAAGTCACGGGCTCAGATTCTTCCCCCTTGCAAACCACAAGCTCAGAGACCTGAGAAGCAGTCTGGCACCCCAGGCTATACTTTCAACTGTTACAACACGGGATCAGACACAAAACATAGGACCATAATTAAAGCCATGTACCAATCCACCAGATGCAGGACTGCTAGAGACAGACACCAGGTGCCTTGAAACCAGGAGAGAGATGGGAATGGAACCCCTCAAACCTTCTCAAGCAAATCCACCTGTGGCCTCCGCAAGCTCTTCTCAATCCCAAATGCAAGCCTGCCACTGAAAGACTCAAAGATAAACTGCCTTCTAGACACCCTGCCTTGTCACCCTGGCCCACCCAGGAGGGCCTGACAAGGGATCCAAGACATGCCCCAGACCTAGGGTGACAAAGGACCTTCAAGTCCATTGAGATTAAAATGTTAGGAACTTCCAGAGCAAGGCCAAAAGCCTCCACTACCAAATGAAGTTCTACTTCACCAGCTCAAACCCAGACCAGATGACGAACACCTCCCAGCGAGGCAGGACAAAGCACAGTGAGCCTTCCTGCCCCTAGGAGATCAATAGACCCCTACAATCAGCCCTAGAAAGACTTTGTAATTCACCCCATTCCACTCCTGGACCCAACCTTGATAGCAACTGACTGGATAGGACTAATCCTCACCTCTACATGTGAAATTCTGCAATTCCTCTGCACACAGGAATGCTTCCAGTGAGGGCAGAACTCGGGTTAGCTTGTCAGCACACACAAAAGGGGTCCTCCGCTTCTGGTGCAATTGCAACCAAAGCAGCACATGCACCCAACCCCCTCCTCCTCCCCCCCCCCACACACACACAGCACAAAAGGGTGCTGGCAAAACCCTGGGGAGCACAAGCCTGCCTTTGCTGCCTTCCCTGCAGAGCCAGCACAGCTACAGGAGGGAGAACTGTGCACTCTTCCTTGTGCATCATTAGCAGAGCTGAGTGCTAAACTCCAGTTAGTTAGACTTGTGCTTGTCCATCGAGACCAACAGGGATCCACAACTTTACCCACATATCCTTTTCATACAGGAGCTGAAAAGATCCCAGCGTGGTTCTCAGAGCCCTGGCTGAGTCTGCAGGGCCAGCAGATAGAAAACCATTCTTTCTACTTGTGAATTGACCTCATTTGGCCTGGAATCGCTAATAGAATCAATGCAGGACCCCACAATGGCATCTCACCAGACACTGTGCAGAGCAATGTCAACACTATCAACCTCCAGCACAATGGAGCTGGCAACCCCACTCACGTCCAGACCTGACACAGAACCCTAGACAAAATCAAGTCAGACCTAAGATTCCCAAGGAAACAAAACTCTACACTGTACTGCTGGGCCCGCAATCTAGTCTGTCCCAGGCACTAACCAGAGGTTAACACTAGCCAATACTTTAGCACACTAGAACATAGAAGACACAGGCAGACCTTCAGCAAATACAGACTCAGTGAACAGAGGAAGAGGCACAAAGACCAGTGCGAAATGGGAGAGGGAGGAGCCTGCATCCAGAGCGAGGAAAGAGATGAAGACAGAGAAATGCTTCTTACTCTGACACAGAGCGTGTGGAGAGAGGGGACTCTGGGAGGAAGCAAATTTAGCTAGAACACGGAACACACACAAGCATGACGACAGTGAAAGGCAAGGCTGCCAATTAACGGGCCAGGAACGAGATAACAACAAAAGGGATTTGTTACACGCTTGGACAATAACTGGAAATGAAGGAAAGAATCCAAAAGTAATCTGCGCCCCTCCCCAACGTGCCAAATTAGTCAACTGACCCCCCCAAATACCCTCACCCCTATCCCCGATGCCAAGCCAGCATCCTGATCCACTCCCACACCCCACCCTGACCCCCAACAACTCCTCCACATACAACCCCTGCCCTAGATGCTAGGCCAGCACCCTGATCCACCCCACCCTGACCCCTAGTACCCCCACCCTCCATATGCAGGCACCAGTCCAGCACCAGGATCCACCCCCACCCTGACCCCTAGACACAGGCACCTGCTCCCGGTGCCAAACCAACACCCTGATCCACGCCCTCCCCCGCCATGCAGGTGCCAAACCAGCACCCTGATCTTCTCCCACACTCCACCCTGACCCCCAACAACCTCTCCCCACACACCTGCCCCAGGCACCAGTCCAGCACCCTAACCCCCTGCCCGGAGCCGAATCCAAGGCCCGCAAACTCACCCTGCGGCTCCTCGCTCCCGCTGGCCCAGGAAAGTCCCGTCTCTGACCCCGCCTCCTGGGGATTCCGGAGCCCGGCCTCCCGCGCCACGGGACCAGCCGGGGCGGAGCCTCCCCGGTCCCGGTCCCACTCGCGTTCCAGGGTGCGCGGGCCCCACCAGCCCGGGGACCCGGCGCAGCCCCCTTGGGAGGCCGGTCGGAGCGGAGCTGCAGCCGAGCTGGGGGGCCGAGCAGAGGAGCAGGGAGCCCGAGGGCAGGCGCTCCCCTCCCCTTGCTGCAGGAGCTGCTTTCACGGGGCGGTGCCACTCTGGGCTTGGACTCCTGCAGCCTGAGCAAATTGCCCCGGCCTGAACTTTGCCCCTTTCCGGCAAAGAAGGGAAATTCTCCTCTCCCTGTACGGCTCAGGTGGGCCACCGACCCCCAGCAGGCTGGGGTGGATGCACCAGCCAGGTGTCCTCGGGGGAGGGGGGAGCAAATCTGGCGATGCCCCACCAACCCCGGCAGGACCTGAGTTCCACCCTTCCCCGGGGCATATAGGGAGCAGAACTGCAGCGTCCTCCCCAGGTCGCAGAGTGCCCCAGAGACCACCGCCTGGGAAGGAAGCTGAGGCCTCAGGAGAAGGATCCTGCAGCGCACAGGCCGCACCCTAACAGACTGTCACCCAAACATTGATCAAACAACATCCCTGGGGCAACACCAAAGAAAGGAACGAGGAGCACTTGGGGCATCTGAGAGACGAACACATTTATTAGGGCATAAGCTTTCCTGGGCTAAAACCCACTTCCTCAGACGCATGCAGTGGAAAATACAGTAGGAAGATGAATAGATATACAGAGAACATGAACAAATGGGTGATGCCATACCAACTCTAACGGGACTCATCAATTAATGTGGGCTACTGTCAGCAGGAGAAGAAAAACTTTTTTCTCTCAGAGTTGGTATGGCAACACCTATTTGTTCATGTTCTCTGTATCTCTCTCTCTCTTCCTACTGTATTTTCCACTGCATGCATCAGATGAAGTGGGTTTTAGCACGAAAGCTTATGCCCTAATAAATTTGTTAGTCTCTAAGGTGCCACAAGTGCTCATCGTTCTTTTTGCTGATACAGAGTAACACGGCTGCTACTCTGAAACCCGTCACCATGGAAAGGGAGTACCAGGAAAATGACATATTTGGGGTGGGATTTTCAGCCGTGTCGGAGTGACTTACAGCCTTTCCCTGGGACTGGTCTGTGGTGCTTTGGAAAATCCCACTCTTAAATGCTACTGAACAGCTGGAAAAAAGGAACTGAGCCAGCCCCATGTTACCAGCAAGGGCTCAGCGAGCCACTGGTGGGCCATTGGCCACAGTTCAGGAACTACTGCCATAGAGATTTGGGTACTTGCTATATTCAGGACACCAGTGCTGTTCCTTCTGGGAAGAAAGTGAACTCTTCACACCTGGCTGGTTTTCCATTTTATTATTGCAAATTGATTTTTCCACATATATTTTCCATATATTACATATAAAATATTCCTCACACTCCTCTCTGAACCACATGCCTGGTGAATTTACAGGGCAATTCCCTTTGAAAGGTGGGCAAATCAGGAATCAGAGCCTCATTAACACACACAGCAGCAGCAAACTCCCGTCAAGGGGGAAAAATACACATCCGCTACATTCACTCTCATACACAGCTAAGGTTCACCCCCACCAGCCCCTCCTCCTGTGGTCTCGTAAGGATCAGGCTCAGGAGACCAGGTGACTTAAACTTGGTAGGACTGGCTGACTTTGTTCATGTCCTGAGTTAGGTTAGGATCCACTCATCCTCCCTTGGAAGAGATGGCCTTGGTCTAAATGTAATGAAGGCACGAAAGCATCCCCAGAGGGAGCATGCAGTTTCCAATCACATCCCCAGTGTTCCTAAACATTTTACAATGTGTCCAAGGCACTTTATAAGGCATAGGCAGTAGAGGAAGGCTGGTCTTGTGCTAAGAGTCACAGCTGGATCTGCTGTAGGCTTACATTGGGGAAGTCACTTCATCTTTCTCTGCCTCCATTTCCCTTCTCTGTAACAAGGGAATAATGACAATAACCCACCTTCCGAGGGGCTGGGAGGCTGAATTCACTAATGACAGCGAAGTGCCATGAATGCCTCAATAGTGAGAGGATAGGCGCAGGAGAACCATGCTGGATCTAATTACGCAGCACTACAGAAGGGTAAAGTCGTCCTCTCCTCTGAGCACTAACCCCCAGGGGCATGAAGTTTTACATGTCAGATCTAGCCTGAAGCATTGTAAGCTCTTCAGCACAGGGCATGTGTGTCTGCACAGCACCTAGCACACTGGGGCCTTGGGGCACTACTTAATGCAAAGAACTCTTTAAACATATGCAGACTTGAGGGAAGCAGGGGAAGATTGTGGAAAGAATTCAGGTATGGCCACACTGCAGCTTAAAACCTCTCTCTAATTTACTGTTTATAGTCTGACAGCATCTAGGAGCTCAACTCAGCCCAGGACCCCACAGTGCTAGGCGCTGTACAAACACAGGATGAAAAGCTGCTCGCTGTGTCAAAGAGCTTTCAGTAGAAGCCAGCTCTGGGCTGAGAACAAGCAGGAAGTGGGTCAGAACGCGGGGGGGGGGGGGCACTCCTGAGAAGAGCCCATGGAAATAGGGACTTCCCTGAAATCAAAGCGCTGCCTCAGCCTGAACTCCGGAGTGGCTGGCACCTGGATTGCTTTCTCCATGGCGCTCCTGGGTAGCCGTCAGGCACAAGCTCAGCCAGGTAAGCACCGGCCACATGGGCCCACAGGACAGCAGTCTTCTAGGAAAGGCCTTGACTGCTACAGATTTCACCTTTGCCATAATCACTTAGACTTTGTTCACAGCCAGATATGCCAGCATGACTTAACCCTGCTGGGAGAAGAGAGGCATCTTGCCTTTTGGCTCCAACCATCTGGTCACCCTTGATCAGCCCGGCGAGATCAGGTACTGGTCTACAATAAGCACCCCCATTGCTCCTGAGCTAGCCGAGCAGAGGGGGGCGTTTGCAGTCTCTTCAACAGGCCTAGCTACCCCAGAGGACTCTGGCATCTCAGCAAAGAACTGTCTGACTTTGTCATCTCATGCCATCCACGGTCCCCAGAGGGCAGCCCCTCTGCCTTCCCCATGCCCCCCTCCCTGCTGCCACCTCTCTCACCTTCCTCCCTACAGAACGAGTCCTCTTCACCTCCACCTCCAGCCCCTCAATGGCATAACCATCTCTGCCCCTCCCTCCCTTCCCTGATGGATAAGCTGCCTTCAACCAGGGCAGACCTCCCCTCCCCAAACCCAGCCCGGAGGCAATGCTAAACGCCCCTCTGCAAGGACAACTCATGCTCAGATTGTCTCTATGTCTCACAATCAAGGAAGGGTAACCCTAGGACTTCTAGAGCACCATGTAACCTTAACCCTGATTCTACCTCAGAGTCCCATTTACTCCCTGCCCCTCCCCACTATCCCCTTTTAGCACCTCTCTGTTCCATCAGGGAGAGCTCTTTGGTGGGAGGTAAAAAGCCCCTGAATGGCACTGGTGATGCTGGGGCTGTGGGTCCAGACTTTCTTAGTGTATTGTCTGCATGAGTCAGAAGGGGAGGTGAAGTCAGGATCAGCCCCCCAATCCTTCTCCTTCCCCCCCAAATTGGAGGCACTTTGGTTCCTGGATATGTTCAAGGCAAGAGAATCACTGGCAATGTCTGGATTTTCAGTCTCGCCGATCTGCCCATCCCAGCTCTCCAGGGATGAGGCCAGGTCCCCTCAGACCATGGCCAGGCCCTCGGAGTGGCGGTGGCCGTGCGGCATGCTGGCTGTACTGCTGTCGGATTTGTAGCTCTTGGGAGCCCGGCTGGCTTTCAGGAGTACCAGGAACGTGTCTGTGGAGATGGCCCCGAACTCAAAAGTGAAGGTGCCATAGAAGACGAGGATGTTGATGATGAAAATCCACTCACACAGGGCGGCCACGTGTTGCAGAACAAAACTCTCCTGGACGAAGAACACACCACCTGGGGGCGCCAGAATCAAGGAAACCAACAACCCACAGCAAGAGGCACCAGCATCTCTCCCCAGCGGGCAGCGGGGGGGGCGGCATCTCCCCCAGACATGTGAGGCCGGGTTGAGTCAGTGTGAAGTGTACTGAGATCCTCTAGGGGGAATGGAGCATCGCTCCTGGATACAGGGAATTACCTGACCCCCAAGTGCTAGGCCTGCCTCCAGGAGAGGTCTGGCAGCCCAGGGCAGGGGATATAGCACTGAAACACCCCCCCCCCCCCCCCCAGTGCCAATCCCACTGCCCCACAAAGGGCTGCCAGCCCAGGGCAGGGAGTACAGCCCTGAACCCCCCATCCCAGTGCCAGTCTCACTGGCCCAGGAGTGGTCTGCCAACAACAGGACTGATCCTAGCTTACAGCTGGGGCCAATCCTGCTCCCACTGAAATCAGCAGCAGAACTCCCATTTTACGTCAGTGGGAGCAGGAGCAGGCCCTGGACTGGGTGCCTCTGCTTGTGAGCATGAGGAGTAATACAGCCACAGGGACCCTTGGCTCCTCATGTGCAGGGCAGGGGGGGTCACCGTGGCTCAGGCAGCCTGTCTCTCTCTCTGCCCCTTGATCTGTTAGCTATTGCTGGGACAGCTTACAGAGGTGCTGAGCTGGAACGAGACGCGGCCTTTTGGAGCGAGTTTGCAGGGAGCCATCCCAGCGGGACCCTTGGCTCCTCATGTGCAGGGCAAGGGGGGTCACCGTGGCTCAGGCAGCCTGTCTCTCTCTCTGCCCCTTGATCTGTTAGCTATTGCTGGGACAGCTTACAGAGGTGCTGAGCTGGAACGAGACGCGGCCTTTTGGAGCGAGTTTGCAGGGAGCCATCCCAGCGGGACCCTTGGCTCCTCATGTGCAGGGCAAGGGGGGTCACCGTGGCTCAGGCAGCCTGTCTCTCTCTCTGCCCCTTGATCTGTTAGCTATTGCTGGGACAGCTTACAGAGGTGCTGAGCTGGAACGAGACGCGGCCTTTTGGAGCGAGTTTGCAGGGAGCCATCCCAGCGGGTTGAACATAAACCCACGAACTGCAGGGCGAGACCCCATGCAAACAGCCTCCAGGGCGGAACAGGCCTCTCATGGATACCGGGGGGGTTAATGATCATCCCAGCGTGATCCTTCCAGCACAAAGTCTGTTGTCACAAAGGGTGCTTGGTATGCAAGGCTCAAGGGTGGATCCTGTGCTAAGAGTCCAGAATCTCTTCCACTTCAGGGAATACCCATCAGGGCAGGGCCAGCCCACCAAGTCCCCAAACTGCCTGTACCACCATTTACCCCACCCCCAGCTGTCAAACCCCTCCTTCTCCAGCAAGGAGACTCCATCTCCAGCCCAGCCATTTTCAAAAGAGCCCATGGGACTCCAACTCACATCCCACTGAGTTTCAGGGGCAGCTGGGTGCCCAGTGCCCTTAGGACTTATTGAAAGCGCCAGCCTCTGTTTCTTGCCCACACTCCTGTATAAGAGCCCCTCATTACAGCCCACAGTCTCCTCCCCTGGGACCCTTTTCCCCTGCCTTGGCCTGCAGCTCTCTGGGGAACCCAGGTCCTTCATTTTGGGACTGTGCTCCTCTGCTCTGCATACTCCGCTCCAAACTGCTTTCCAGCTCTGACTGCCCCAGCCTCCTCTTTGACTACTTATTCCATGGGTCTCCTTTATCCATTCATCTGTTAATGGAAATTGGACACCTGGTTTGGGCAGATCTGCACCGTCTTGGAAAATAAAATGGAAGGGCCTTCCCAGAAACTGTTCTCTCCTTATCGCTGCTGGAAATTCTCCCTCAGTTCCTTCTATGACATGTGAGCCTCTTATCTAGCTGGTTATTTCCTTTGCGTTCCTCCCAGCCCCAGCGCAAGCATCCCTCAGAATATCTCCCATGGACTGCAACTTTTCTCCTAAGGGACCAACCTCTAGGCTGAGAGGGGAATTGGACCTGGACAGCTCGGTCCAGCTGTGGGCTGCGAGCCTCAGTCATGTAGTTTTATGCCTTTTGTCCGCTGAGGCCACACAGCTATTGGCACAGAACTCGCCAATCAGCCAGCAGAAGGTCACGACTCCAGGTCACTCGCACCAGGGCCTGTGCTCCGGGAGCCCTCTGCAACTGCTCTTGCCATGTCTCTGCTTCTCCACTTGCTGCTCTCCTCTCTGCCAGCCACCATACCACTGGCTCCAATCCTGTTCTCATACACTCCTGCCTGTCTCTCCGATCCCTGGCACCTCCCTGCTCAGCCACTCTGGTTTCCGTTGCCCTTTCACCGCTGTGGAGTTTACTGACGCGGGGCTGGGATCCCAACCTCCTGCTGAGCATTGGGAATGCGTCCCACTTATCCAGCCAACACTCCACTTCACAGCCCCCAGCATTCAGTATTCTGCATCCCTGCACTTCGTACAGAGCCCCCTCTGCATTTCCAGCCCCACACGATGATCACTGGATCCTAGATGCCCACAGCTCACGCCTGCCTCCTTCCCACCCATCCCATCTACAATAGCTTCTGCAGCCAAGGGCTGTCCCCAGCGTGCTGCGTCAGGAAACGCATTACAACTGATGAAGTGAGCTGCAGCTCACAAAAGCTTATGCTCAAATAAATTTGTTAGTCTCTAAGGTGCCTAACCATTACAACCACTGCCACCATGCACCCGGCCCATGCTTCCATACGACTCTTCTCCTACTCGGCACGGCTGCATCATCAGAGTCCCCTCTGACCTCTTGTATCTGCACTGGTGTCTCCTGGGCTCCCTTGCCATCCTGCCCAAGGGCTCTCGAGCTGCACCTTGGTTCCTATTTTGTCTGTGATCTCACTCCAAATAACCCTCTGCTGTGTCAGCCCAGACACTAGGAGCCTTTCTTTCGGCTAACACAATATTCCCTTCTTCTCCCCCAGTCACCCCTCCTGCTGCTCTCTTTATAAACCCCAACGCCTGCTAATTTAGCTGCCCACGAAGGGCCTTAGTTTAACCAGCTCCACCTCGCCTTTCCCCTCACCGCACGGCGACTCTGCTGGGTTTGCTTCTGTGTTTGCACAGAATGCATTTATAGCTCTGCTCAGCTCCCTCTTTTAAATCTGGATGGTCAGTAAATAACATTGCAGCCGGCTGACTTATCCAGGGTTGAGGGCTCAAAACATTGCAGCCGCCTGTTATTTGTGTTACAGCAGCACCTAGGATCCGCAGGATCCAGGACCCCCCCCGTGCTAGGCGCTGTACAAACACAGAATCCAAAGACTCTCCCTGCCCCCGAGAGCTTACTGTCTGATGGAAAAAAGGTTGACAGTGGCAAGATTTGAACCTACACTTACAAGGAACCTGGAGCCTAAATCCAGCCCCTTAGATGCTTGCCCCTGCTACCAGCTAGATTGGAACTCAAGAGGGCTAAGAAAGCTGTTTGCTTGAAAGCTACAAACCACCAGCAGCAGGGCCAGGGGGACCCCATGGCAAGGAATGCACTTTCCAGGAGCGCTGAAACAAGCCACCAAATGCTGCTGCCCAAGGGGCGAGCACTATTCCACACCCAGGCTCAAGTCTGCCTTCAGCTAGTAAAACCTAGTGCATGGACCACCGACTTCTGTCTTCCCTCCACACCTCCTCCAAGCAGCGAGCACCAGCCCCCCTCTCCTTCACTCCACCTCACCTTAGTCAGGAGAGCCTTCTCTGCAACTGTCTGGAGCACCCTCCCCAGATCACTGCCCCGCCTCGACTCTCCATCCCATTTCTAATCTCAGCAGCCAAGGGCCCCTCTCCCTTGCCCAGGCCCCCTGCTGCTATTATTTCTCTTTGCAATTGGACTAAAGGCTGTACGGCATTTGGAGGATGGTGTCTGCATAATAGACACGGTGCTAAGTCCAGCGGGGCTGCTCCAAGCCATGCAGAAGCGAGTGACAACTTTCCCTCAGTACGGTCTGAGCCATCGGATTTGTTGCCCAGCCCGCAGCACTGCCAACACTGGCAATTCGTTTTCGCACACCCCAGCTGCACGTTTCTTACCCACACGCTATTGCGGGGAAAGGATACTGAAGACAAGGGTGATGAAGGCCAGAGTGGAGAGGATGCTGCGCAAGTGGGCGGTCCAGTAGTGGCCCCTGGTTTTCGCCATGCGGTAAGTCAGAAGTGACTGCAGGAACACAAAGAGCATGCTGGTCGGAAACGCCACACCTGCGCCAATGTAATGCAGCACCTTGGCATAGTCCACCTGGGAGACAGAAACAACCAGATCAGGGCACACAGAGTCCCACTCCGCTCCGTCGCCCAGACGCTACAGTTCACAGCACTCTGGCCTTCCTCTTTCTAACCCTGGAGTTTGGGTTCTAGCCCCAGTCAGATGTCCGTCTCTCACACACACCCTTCTCTGGCTTGGGGCGCCCTGCATCAGATATCACTCGCACGCATACTTTCTAACTGGAGAGTCAGGATCCCAGAGCCACCATATGAGCAGCTGCATAATTAGAACCTAGCGGGTGTCCAGCACCTGGTTTCAGACACATTCTCCTCCAGACTCTAACATGAGGTTTGAGGTCTAAACCACCACAAGGAGTAGGAGCGGGAAGCAGAGCTCTCCCTCTACCTGGGAGCAGGTCTCACACGTAGGCAGAGCTGTCTGGGTCCCCACGTTCAGGTCTGAGGATTCCCCGGAGAGCGCTTGCAGCTGAGTCCAGACTGACAATGGATTCAGCAGGGGGACGTGGAACAGGTCTGGCTAAGTACTGTCCTCTGTGCGGGAAGGGAATCCATGTTTACACGGGTTCAGTGGGTTAGTCTCTGGCGTGGCAGAGCAGCATTCCCGCAGGCAGGGGGCTCCATGCCTCTGCATGTTCCCATCTGTTACCAGGCTGGCTCTGGCTGGCCCAGCAGGCTCAGACACACAGTACAATGTGGCACCTTAGAGACTAACCAATTTATTTGTTAGTCTCTAAGGTGCCACAAGTACTCCTTTTCTTTTTGCGAATACAGACTAACACGGCTGTTACTCTGAAACCAGTACAATGTGGCTGGCTGGCTTGATGCAAGGAGTAAGTTAGAGCAAGGCTGGGGCCGGGGTCGGGGCAGTGCAGCCAGCTGAGCTGTGTCCTCGGAATACAACATCCACTGCAGCATCCTGGGCAGTGAAGCCAGAACCTATCACACAAGGGAAAGGAGAGAAGCCAGGTGCTCTGGGCAGGCGACTGGTTACAAACAGCCCAGCAGCCCATCGCAGACCTGAGGGTGCCCAGAAACCTAGTTCCAGCCCAGCATCCCTGGATCTTTTTGCAGGTTTTGGGGGTGGCCAAGGCATACCTATTGCTGCCTGTGGGTAAACATCCCCCGCCCCCAGGATGGCCTGATTATGGGCAGAGAAAAGCAGACTGCACTAGAAAGCAGCGTCTGCCCAGACACGTTTCCTGGCATTGCTTCGGGAGGAGAAAACATCCACCCTTGGCAGGCGCTGGGAGAACAGACATCTGTGAGTCATCTGTTTTGCCCAGAGGTTCGGCACCCTCTCCACGCACAAACCCAGGAGCACTAGTCACATCCAGCAGGGAACTGAAGCTCGGGGTAGGATCCCAGCTCCCACCATGGGAGCCAAGCTAGGTTCTATACAGCCCTGGGGATCTGGGCACCTCACAGTCATTCATCCAACCTGACAGCTGCCCAGGAGACAGGGCAGTGCCATTACCACCACATTACAGATGGAGATACTGAGGCACACTGAAGCTAAGTGACTTGCCCCAAGTCGTTCACAGAGTCTGTGGTAGAGCAGGGAACTGAACCTTGGTCCTCTGACTCCAAATCCAGTGGCTCATTCCCCAGGGCTAGACCACCTTTACTCCGCTGACAGTGCATTAACCTCCTCCCCCTGTCCTCCTCAGACTGGGAACCCTGGCATTGGGTCATTTGGTTTTGGGGTGGGGGGTAATTCCTTGCCCCCAGCTAAAGCTCTCCATAGTTCAGCCCAGGGGATAGGGCTCCCCACAGAGTGGGCCGAAGCTGGCCAGCCCATGGCTGGATTCAGTTGAGACGAGGAAGGTGTTGCTCACTCCAAGAGTTGGACACGTTGCCTCCGCAGCCTTCCCTCCCCGCCACCAGGCCCTGGTATCTGATCCAGGACATTGGCTGGCACTAGATCCCCAGGCTGATTTTGATGAGTCTGCCCCTGTTGCCTGGAACTCCCGAAGATCCCATCACACCCAAGCCATGCACCTACAATCCAAGTCACAATTCAGAGCCATTTCCTAGACAGGTGCTGAGCGCTCTCGACTCCCGTTGGCTCAGCTCCTCACAGGATCAGGCCCTCAGGGAGCAGACTGCTTTGCCAGGTGTTTCTCCCTGTGCTGCCAACTGCTCTGCAGTCTTGGTTTCCTTGCAGCCACGCTCTGGGCTGCCTTATGGCACCAACTCTCATGAGTCCCAGCTCACCAGACTCCCACACGTGTGGCACCCTCCTGCCACTCGCCTTCTTGCGCATGCAGAGCGGAGCAAATTCCAAGACCCCACCCCTGGCTTCCCAGGCATTTCAGGGTCCTGCCCTTTAAAGCCCTTCCTAGCCAACCTCACAGAACTCCTGCCCTACTCATCTGGCACTGGCCAGCCTCCTCTGCCCAGTGCAAGAGCCTTCCCCTCTGCAGCTCTTGATGTCTGGAAGAGCCATCAGTTGAAGAGAGGCCTTCTCTTTCCTGCCTGTGCCTCTTTCCCTCCGCTAGCTTTCAACTCCAGAGAGCACTACAGGGAAGCAGTTTCTCTGCGAGGTGTCTGCCCTCCAATGCCGGATTGCACAAGCCCATCAAGCTGGGGGAAGCTGATGAGCACAGTGGGGTAGTGCCCGCTAACCTGACAGCTGGAATGGACCTGGTGACAGCGTCCACTCATCCAGGTCATCTTATCTGCCCCGTGTCTGATGGAAAAGCCCCAGAGTCCAGGGCACAGGGGCATCAAATATTGTGTTAGTGACACAATCCAAAGGGAAGGAACCTTGGACTGTGGCTGTGCGAACATCCCTAGTGCAAAGCAATCCAGGGGCTGCTCTGGCCTTGCGCCCCCCAGAATATCTCTGCTGAGACATGGAGCAGTGGGGCTCAGGCCCCACCACTGTTCTGGAAAGCGGGCCCAGCCCCACCAATGTTGGAGCCAGGGGTGCAACCAGGATTTTGCTAAGGAAGGGGCCCATGTGACCTGCCCGGCTGCCCCAGATTTGACTAGCACTGCGACCTGGCACACCGGTATAAGGGCTGGAACTAGAAGTGCTGGGTGGAGATCGCAGCCCCTGGCTTGAAGTGCTTTCCATCATATACAGGGTTTACAGCAGGGGTGGGAAAAATACAGCCCACGGTGCAGTGGGGTGCTCAGACAGGCTCCCTGCCTCTTGTGGCCCCACACCACTCCCAGAAGCAGCCAGCTGCTGCTGCCATGTCTCTGCGGCCCCTGGCAGGGGGCGGGAGGTGGCTCCACATGCTGCCCCCATCCCCAGCACCATCCTCACAGTTCCCATTGGCCGGTTTTCGGCCAATGGGAGCTGCGGGGTGGTGCTTGTGGGTGTGGGCAGCGCATGGAGACGGGCTGCTCTCCTCCCCTCAAGGGGTATGCAGAAACATGCACCAAACTCCCTGCACCTGCACCAAACCCCCTCCCAGAGCCCACACCCCTCACCCTCTCTTGAACCCCAACACTCTGCACCAGCCCAGAGCTCCCTCCTGCACCCAAACTCCACCTAGATCCTGCACCTCAATCCCCTACCCCAGCCCGGAGCCCCCTCCTGCACCAAACCACCTCCCAGAGCCCACATACCTCTCCATTAATATAGTAGAAATGTGCGGCCCGGGATAACTTACCAAAATTCGGGGAGTGGCCTCCCCGCAAAAATTATTGCCCACCCCTGGTTTAAAGTTTGGTTCAATGGCTCTCAGCACCCCCACTATACAAATTGTTCCAGCACCCGTGCGCACAGGGCCCCAGCACCATTCAACTTTGGCCCAGCTGCCCTGCTGTCATGCCTGCCTACCTGGGGGGATCCACCCCCCTGACCCTGGAGTATCAGGGTCTCTTCCCCTTTGCCCCAAGACTCCTGGGACCAATCATAAATTTTACAAACCTGCACCTACAGGCACACCCCTGGGGTCCAGGAGCAGCCCTCAGTGGTTCTCGCTGGAGGGCAGCAGGTTTGCAAACATCAGGGTGAGTCTTCTTCACACAAGATCAACCCCTGGTTTCTAGGCTCTAGATTCCCACCAGAGACAGGTGGCCGACATGGACCTGGGTATCAAGTGTCCAATCTGGGAATGCTAATGCATACAGCAAGATGGGGACTCTCAGCACCTGCTCACCCAATCCTGCTCAGCACAGATGAATCCCAGCTATTTCCAAGCCTACAGTAAACGCTAAGCCAGCATGTCACTGCAATATGCAGACCAAAACTTGAAAATGCAGAACAACTGCCTGAGCTAGCTCCTGCTGCAGCCCCTGGCTGGCAGGCGGGCTTCAGGCTTCCCTAGATGGGTTTTGGTGACAAGATCAGAGATTGCTGGGCAATGTTATCCACAAATATTTACTTTACAAGATAAGAGTTAAACAGACTGGCAGCTTAGTCTGGGCCCGTTAGGGGTGAGCAAACGAAGGCGAATTCCAGAGCTTAAGAGGAAAGGAAATTTACTTGATGAAGTAAAAAAAATTAATGAAAATGGGGGGTTGATTCTAAATACTCCCCTGTGATACTGGAAACACCAAACACAAGCGCTGGGAGAGAGCGCGCTTCGGCCCCCATCTGTTCCCCCCCTCCAGAGGAGTCGTCTTACCTGAAAGTTGCCAACCATGGTGAGGCCAGCGGCGCAGATCCAGCCTGCCGCCAGCCCCAGGGTGTTGAGAAGGGACGGCCCACAACACTCGATGACGTGGGCGTATCTCAGCAGGCCAACAAGCATCACTGGGAGATGGAGACAAGGCATCCCATCAGACACATGCCCACCAGCTGCAATGTCTCACCTCCCAGAGCCATCTCTGCCCCACCTGAGCCTGCCTGAGGGGCAGGAGAACAAGGAGCACTTCGCCCACCCCTCCGTCTTGGAGAGGCCAAGCAGACCCAAGGCCAGCAACAGCTACCACCTGGAGATGATGACACAGATGCTCCTTCTGTTACAGGGCTCAAGGGCCAAATTTGGTTAATTTCAGTCTCGGGGTGATACCAGGGGCCCTGTCAGCCCTCCCAACACATACTACAGGGCAATCTGCTCCTGCTCCTAGTGCTGAAAGCCGGGAAGGCGAGGAGAGCAAAGATTTTAGATTAAATGTTCCCCATGGGTACCATGCAGACCCAAAGGCCCTGTGCTGAAGAGTTTTCAATGCTTCCGGCCAGATCTGACACTTAAAACTTCACACACAGCTGCGGGGAACTGAATCCTGCCATGCACGGCTCTCCTAGGGCCAGGCTGTGGGAGGCACCAGTCGCACAGCAAGCTGCTGGGGCTCTAACAGGCTGCAGTGGGCCGGGGGTTTTGACACTGATGCCAGGTTGCAGTAGTTATTTGACATGGAGTTCGACACAGAGAACTAAACCACGGAACTCAGCAGCAAGGGGTCAAGGACCAGAAATCCACACCCCCCCCCCCGACTTCCCCGGAGCAACAGGGTCCTTGCACATCCCTGGGGGGTACGTTTCTAGGGCCAGGACAGGCTGGGGAGTAGCCATGCTGCCCGCCCTCCTGCACGAGCCCCCTACAGTGGGAAGCTCTCGCAAGCAGGGCACCTGGGTCTGGTTCGCTTTATATGCAAACAGACACCTACGAACCCCCACTCCTCCCTACATGGACATCTGTGCCCTGCACGCTGCCCCTAGCCGCCCCCTCTCCATGCAGATTGCATCAGCCTCTGCCCCGGCGCTCACCCCTGCCCTCCCATCGGGCTGAATCCCATGTCTGAGCTCAGTGCTGACCCCACTGGGCCATGCCCTCCTCAGCCCCTCGGCTTGGGCTCTGCAGCGGGTGCATCTGGGTCAGCTCAGCCTTAGGCACCAGCAAAGCAAGCAGCTGCCAGGAGCCTGTGGCCCCCGCCCCCCCCCCCGGCCCTGCACCCTCCCCCATCAGCTGCAACAGGTCACGGAGAACTGGTGGCCTGTGTATGGGAAGGGCAGCCCTGCCCCAGACGGCTGAGCTTCTGCAGCTCTGCGTCCCCATCCCCAAGCAGCCCGGACTTACCCATGAACGAGCCCAGGCTGCAGATCAGGCTGAAGAAGCAGCTCTCCGGAGGGAAGGTGCCACACTTGCTGGGGAGAGCAGACAGGGCCTGTTAGAGACGCCACATGGCACTGGGCCTTGGGTGGGCCACTAGCCCAGGGGAATCAGGCCTGCTGGCAGTGCTGCCAATAGCTGGGGCAGCTGCCCTCCCAGTCTTGGCCTTGCTGCCCCACTTGCTCCCTCCATTCCCCCCTGGCTGATCCGTGGCCATTTGCCATCCCCTCCCCCTGTGTGGCGCTCCAGGCTGCCTAGATGTGGTGCTGAGGGCGCACAGGACAGGGTCTCATCAGGAAGCGCTGGAGCTGGAGTGGGATGGGCTGCTCACAGCTGGCACACCCCCACACTGCACGGCCATCATGCTGCAGCCAGGTCCCTGATGGGCTGGACTCGCAGGGGGATGCTTGGTGGACGCAGGAGGCTCTTCACTCCTTTGGTGCCCACCTGCAGCGGTAGGCAGCTCTCACCTCCAGGCCACAGGACCAGGGCTGGGGCCCAACCCCAGTGTGGGTACCACAGGAGGACGGGGGGAAGTGCCACCCCTTAGCTGGGATCCTGTCTGTGCAAACTGGAGATCCTTGGAGCTGCTGTCCTGGCCAGCACCCCTGAGCTGCCAAGCGGGAGGGTGGGCGCTATGCCTTAGTGCCATGGTTGCTGGGGCATTGCCTGCTCCACCCATGCCCTCAGAGAGTGCCCCGTCATAACCTGCCCCCTCAGAGAGCCCCGCACAGGGCGAGGGATGCTGCATACAGCACCAGCTGCTCCCCTTGCCTCTTCACGCTCTGCAGAGCCATGGCCAGGTGCTATGGGGCGGAGACGGGCTGCCCTGGACAGCAGGGCACCGGCCACATGCGCTGTGCCTGGCAAAGGGGAGGGCTCGGGAATGTCTTACTTCAGGCCAGGTGGGTGTAGGCAAACCAGCACTTCAGACACGGCCCCTGAGGCTAGCCACCACACGCACACAAGCCAGGGACCCCACCCTCCCTGGGCCAATCACCCCTCCCCCCCCTTCTCCTTCCCCTCCCCAGATCAGGACTAGCTGGGAGGCTTGGAGGGGGCTGGTGTGACGACTCCCTTGGCAACAGCCTGGCCCAGCAGAGGCCCTGGGGCGGGAGGGCGGGTGTGTGTGTGTGGCTCCAGGCGGTCTCTCCCCAGCTGGGAGCAAGCTGGAGCCTCCAGCGCACCTGACCTTTCCCCCACTTCACAAACAGGAAGCCAAGGGGAAATTCCAACCGCAGCACCCACTTCTACTTCATGCGAGCCGGCCCCGGCCCCTCCTCCTCTGCCACAGGCACTGCTGCTGGCCTCCCATCCCAGCCGCGCGCACACCCCGCGTGCCCCCCACACACCGCGCACACCCCGCGTGCCCCCCCCACACCCCGCGTGCCCCCCACACACCCCGCGTGCCCCCACACACACCGCGCACACCCCGCGTGCCCCCACACACACCGCGCTCACACCCCGTGCCCCCCCCACAGAGCTCACAGACACAGTCCACAAACACACACTACTCACACATCCAGTGTGTCACAAACACACACACACACACTGCTCACACCGACCATGTCACAAACACACACTGCTCACACCCATGCCCCACACACCACTCACACCCCGCGTGCCACACACACACACACCGCTCACACACACACTGCTCACACCAAGCATGCCACAAACACACACACTGCTCACACCCATGCCCCACATACACTGCTCACACCCAGCGTGCCACAAACACACACACACTGCTCACACACCCCCAAGCCACAAACACACACACACTGCTCACAGCCAGCATGCCACAAACACATGCTTAGGGGGTCTTTTCTGCAGACACTCCCAGCCACTACAGAAATGCCCCAAGACTCCTTCCCAGAGACCACCGCTCCATGCATCCAGCACCCCCTCCATCCCCAGGTGTGCACGCCACCCCCCAGCCACAAACCTCTGCACAGAGCACATCAACCACACACACACACACACCACTACACAAACACCACACACACACCACCCTTCCCCTCAGAGACCAGCTCCACACAAACCAGTCACCACACACACACACACAACCCCGCAGGGGTGGAGTTTGTGGAGGGACAGCAGACCACTGGGGTGGGGGGATGGAGCACCAGGCTTCCCTATGCCACAAGCTCCACAGCCAGGGAGATGCCTCCAGACCTCATCCTAACCCCACCCTGCAACCTGTCCTGGAGCTGTTTCCCCTCTGGCTCCTCGAGAAGGCTCCTGTTAATGACTGGCAGGAATCTAGCCTGGACTTGCAGGTCCTGCCAGCTGCAGGGTTTGCCAACCAGCTGCCTCGGAGACCTGACCATCACCCCCACTCAGCACTGGAATCACCCAGCTGCTGCTAACTGAGACACAGCCACAGGGCGACCTCTTTGCTAACGAGCACGTGGCACTCACGGCCACAATTAGGCAGCTGAGATCCGCCCCCTTGGGCAAGAGGGAAAGTCGTCAGCAAGACGCTGCAAGCCACAGGTCTTGCTGACAGCCACAGGAGTGCAGCTCCTTGCAGTTCCAGGAACAACCTGCCCCTCACCCCCACAGTTCCAGGAACCGCCCACACATGTGCACTGGACCGGTTCAGCAGCTACTGGATTGCTGTGCCATTTGGGGGTATTTTTGCTCTTACCTGACCAGAGGAATGTGATCCAGAGTGCAGCACGAAATGGGGCCATCCAGCCCACAGGACTGGTTATAATTCCTGAGGAGAAGGGAACAAGACACATTAGATAAGGGATCAATATGTGTCGGGCACCAGACTTGCTGAGCCCACCACTTTCTGCAGATTTTAAGCCTTCATTAAAATAAGTTTCCCAGCCCTGCTGGTTGCAGAGAAAATCAGCCCAACGTGACCCCATACAGTGCCGTCTGCCTGCGTCTGCAGCCAAGCTAACACAGCCCAGAACTGGGGCCTGACCTCGGCTGGCTCAACGGGACGCCCGCACAGAAGCTTACCAGTGACACAGCAGCGCTGCTAATGATTTTGCTGCAAATCGTTTTAGCAAAACTCTTCTAGCTACTCTGGGGTTGGGGGCGGAGTCCTCCCTCCCCCCAACCTGACCCCTCTGCAGTTTCCCCAGGATCAATACAGATAGCATCAAGCACAACTCAAGGGAGCGCTGAGGTTCAGCTCACATGGCGTCTGGATGCTGCTCCAAACAATCAGAAACTCTTGGACCCACCAAGCTGAGCTGTCAGGCTCCCTGAGGAGATGCCACAGGCAGGACATGGCTCGCTGGCAGGGGTTGAACCCCTCTGCTTCCAGCAGGACCCTGGAAGCTTAGAAGCCCCCAGAGAGTTACAAATGAACCCGAATCCATCCTCGGGACAGGCTCAGTCTGTGTCCCGGAAGAAGCTGCAGGGCAGTTCGAGTCTTGGGCTGACGTTCAGATCAGCTCTCCTTTTATCCAATCAGATTTGCCCAGCTGAGTCCACAGTCCTGTGCCAGGAAGTGGCTCATGGGGCAATGCCCATTTGGACAGCTCCAGCCAAACCACCCCAGGGCCTGGAGCCAGGGAGCAGGATGGGTTTCCTGCAGCAGTTTAGTCCCCATCTCCCAAGAGCAGATGGAGATGGGCTGCCATTAACTGTGCCCAAGCAGTCTGGGAAAGGGGGCGTAACTCCTTCCTCCCCATCAAACAAAACCAGAGACACAGCAACGCTCCCATCTGCTCACTAAAGCCACGTGTCAGTGTGGAGCAGCAAGGGCAAACATGCGGGGATCCTCGTTTCACAGCACGCTCCCCAAGGAGCCCCGAAGAGCCAGGCAGGTGGGCTGAAGATAAAGCCAGAGGCCTGATGGGACCTCTCCCCAGGGCTCCTAGCTGTGCGTATACATACAGCCCCTTCGGCAGCTGGCTGCTCACTATGTGGGAATGGCCCGCGGTTCACACCTGGGGAGATGAGTCCATCTTGTGGCCCATCCCCACATGCCTGTGGACAGAGGCGACCCTCACTAAGAGGATTTACTGCTACAGCCTCTCTGTGCAGGCAGGGAGGAGTCACACATGGCTCTTTGGAACTAGTGGGTCTATTGCCCCTCGATGGAAACCAGAGCAAGAGGCCAGGACAGGAAGGGAGGGCCAAGGGCAAGTCCTGAGCCAAGTTCTGCATTGCAGAGAAAAGAAAGGCCGGGATAACAGCCATAAAAATCGCTGAGAGAGCCGTACACGATCAGAGGGACACAAGCCAAGCCGCCAGGCCAAACCCAGGGTAGGATGTATAGCTTTGGAACCCTGCGCCCCCTAACTTCCAGCCAATCAGCAGTCGCTGTCAGGGAGGGACCAGAAGAGCCAGGTCAATATGCAGAGCCAGAAAACCCCCTGAACACGGGACGGGAAGGGACCTCATGGGTAGCAAGTCCAGTCCCAGTCCCCCACCCCCCGTCATCGACGAGTAGCCTCCCTGAAATCAGACAGCTGCCACTTCTCAGCCAGCCCCAGCCCCAGGAATGCCTGTGAACAGTGATGGCCGCAGCTCCGAGTCCTGTGCATCATTACAGACCCTCCAGGGGAACTTGGAACCACCTGATCGCCTCAAATGGGCCCCCAGATGCTGCCCTCTCACCCTAGACATGGTCCCAGGTGGGCAGAGGAACGGCTGTCCAGTGGGAGAGCCTATACAGCTCTCGAATGCTAGAGCAGACGAGCACGCACACACCCCTCCATGGATGAGCTGCTTTTCTGTGGGTCCTGTCTTCTTGTGGCAGGGCACACGTGTGCCCCGGGGGGCATTGCAGAAGCAGTGGGGCGAGGAAGGAAGGAAGATGGCCCACACCTCTTCCCATTTGACCAGCTGAGGCCCTTCCCAGTTGTTCCAGGCAGACAGGTCTGTGTGTGTGCAGCGGAGCTGTAGCCGCGCTGGTCCTGGGTCTCCGTGCAGCAGCCAGTGGAGAAAGCTATCCCTGCCAGCGCTGCCTCTAGGAGAGCCGTGCATGGCAGGGTTCAGATCCCTGCTGCTGTGTGTGAAGCCAGTCAGACTCGCGGGGTTGGCTCTGGCTGCTCTCTCGTGTGGCTGCTGAGTTTCCATTGGCAGAGGTGATGGTTTCTCCAAGTCCTCCTTAACGGCTAGTGTTGACTCCCAGGGATCTCCTGGCCCCAGTGCCTCCTCCCTGCCCCCTCTGAGCGTGTGGCAGATGCACAGGAGAGGCTGTGTGCGCAGGGCAGCCACTGGGACCTGTGAGCTGCCCAAGGTAAAAACTGACCGAATGTCATCACACAGAATGAGCTGGTACTCAGACAGCCTCCCACGCTGCCAAATTCTGCATGGCAAAGCACCAGGAACCCCATCCCACAACAGCAACGCAGACACCCGGCAACCCCCATCCCCCTCCGCTACAGCGCGGCCGCCCCACGACCCCCGTCCCCCTCCCCCTCCGCTACAGCGCGGCCGCCCCACGACCCCCCGTCCCCCCCCGCTACAGCGCGGCCGCCCCACGACCCCCGTCCCCCTCCCCCTCCCGCTACAGCGCGGCCGCCCCACGACCCCCGTCCCTCCCCCTCCCCCCCCCCCCCCCCCTCAGCCCCCCGACCCCCGTTCCCTTCCCGCCACCCCCCCCGACCCCCGTCCCCCTCCCCCCCGCCACACCCCCCCCCACCCCCCCCTCCCCCCCCCACAGCGCGCCGCCCCCGACCCCGTCCCCCTCCCCCTCCGCTCAGCGCGGCCGCCCCACGACCCCCCGTCCCTCCCCCTCGCCGCCCCCACCCCCGTTCCCTTCCTCTACCCCCCCCCGACCCCCGTCCCTCCCCCCACCCCCCCCGACCCCCGTTCCCTTCCTCCCCCCCCCCCGTCCCTCCCCACTCCCCCCCGCCCCGTCCCTTCCTCTCCCCCCCCCCGCCCCCCCCCCCCCCCCCCCCCCCCCTCCCCCCCCCCCCCCCCCCGACCCCCCGTCCCTCCCCCCACACGCCCGCCCCACGACCCCCGTCCCCCTCCCCCTCCCTACAGCGCGCCCCCCCGACCCCCGTCCCTCCCCGCCACAGCGCGCCGCCCCACGACCCCCGTCCCCCCCCCCCCCCACGCCCCCCCCCGACCCCCGTCCCCCCCCCCCACGCGCGCCGCCCACACCCCCGTCCCCCTCCCCTCCCTACCCCCCCCCCCTTCCCTTCCCCCACCGCCCCCCACCCCCGTCCCCCTCCCCCCCCCCCCCCCCCCCCCCCCCCCCCCCACCCCCCCCCCCCCTCCCCCTCCCCTCCCTCCCCCCCCCCCCCCCCCCCCCCCCCCCCCCCCCCCCCCGTTCCCTTCCTCCCCCCCACCCCCGTCCCTCCCCCCCCCACCCCCGTTCCCTTCCTCCCCCCGCCCCCCCCCCCCCCCCCGCCCCCGTTCCCTTCCTCCCGCGCCCCCGCCCCCCCCCCCCCCCCCCCCCCCCCCCCCCCCCCCCTCCCTCCCCCCCGCCCCCCCCCCCCCTCCCCCCCCCCCCGCTCCCGCCCCCCCGACCCCCCTCCCTCCCCCTCCCCCCCCCCCCCCCTCCCCCCCGCCACGCGCGCCGCCCCACGACCCCCGTCCCCCTCCCCCCCCCACCCCCCCCCAGACCCCCGTCCCCCTCCCCCACGCGCCCCCCCGACCCCCCCCCTCCCCCCCCCCCCCTACAGCGCGCCCCCCACGACCCCCGTTCCCTTCCCCCAGCGCGCCGCCCCACGACCCCCGTCCCCCCCCCACAGCGCCCCCACCCCCGTTCCCCCTCCCCACACCCCCCCCCGCCCCCGTTCCCCCCCCTCAGCCCCCCCCCGCCCCGTTCCCCCCGCCCCCCCCCCGCCCCCTCCCTCCCCCACACCCCCCCCCGACCCCCTCCCCCCCCCCCACCCCCTCCCTTCCCCTCAGCGCGGCCGCCCCACGACCCCCCGTCCCCCCCCGCTACAGCGCGGCCGCCCCACGACCCCCGTCCCCTTCCACTACAGCGCGGCCGCCCCCGACCCCCGTCCCCCCCCCCCACAGCGCGGCCGCCCCCGACCCCCCGTCCCCCCCACCGCGCCGCCCCACGACCCCCCGCCCCCCCCACAGCGCGGCCGCCCCACGACCCCCGTCCCCCCCGCTACAGCGCGGCCGCCCCACGACCCCCGTCCCCACCCCCACAGCGCGGCCGCCCCCGACCCCCGCCCCCCCCTACAGCCCCCCCCCAACCCCGCCCCCCCGCTACAGCGCAGCCGCCCCCATCCTCTCTGTGACACAGCAGCCACCTGGGAGCCTCTGGCACCAAGACACCTCTGGCCTGGCCTATGCTCAGTTTTTGCAGCGATTTAGTGAAACAGCTGCTGCCCCAGTGTGGGCCCAGCTCTGTCACTGTGCTTGGACCTCTGGTTTACATCAATTTTAATACCCATTTCGTGAAACCAGTGCAGCCCCATGGGTAGCTGAGCCCTGAGTAACAGCGCTCAGGCCCCGGCAGCGGTGGAGCCCAGAGGGGCCTAAGCAGGGTCGCTTGCAGCCTGGGCTCCTTGGCGGGTGTATATCCAGGCCGCTCTCCCAACCCTGCTAGGACTCTGAGGGGAAAGGGTGGGGGGGAGGCAGAGGCCAGGCTGTCCCCAGAGGGCAGGTGGGATGTCCTGCAGACAGCTCTGGTGGATGGAGCTCTACCAGGGACTCTGCTCCTCCACAGGGCTGCCCTTCAAGCGCAGGAACCTGCTGGCTCCAGGGCAGAAGGGACAATTGCCCCCAGGTGGCAAAGGAACCAGCCCGCCCCTAATTCTGCCACCACGACAGGTTTTG